TGAAGAATTATCTGTGTTTGGATCGCTTTTTCATAAGGCATTTGACAGGCAGTGAGGAAACATTATATTGCCTCCTCACCGCCTGATATAGCCCTATAATGCTGCAGTACCATGCTTGTGGTTGCAGTGCGACCCAATTGAACTCAATGGGCAAATTTGACAAGTGGTGCTGCTTGTCAAACTTTGCACCTCGAGTTAAAAATGCTGTGGCTGCGAAGCATAGTGTCTTGGCCACAGCATGTGAACATCCTCCTTTAGCTATTGTTTTACAGTTCGGTTGGGTGGCTGGGGGGTGTCCTGACCGTTCATCTAAAAGAGACCTTACTTTAAAAAATGTCACTTAAAAACTTTTCATAAATTTGGAAGTTGAACTAATTTTTTACTGCACCCCCTAAGTTGCAAAGGCAGCTGGACGGGGGTATACACATGCCACGTGGCAAAAATATGATCCCCCATCATCATGTTTGGCGTACAGTACTGCCGCCAAACACAATATATTCAAGTGACTGGGGCTGCATGGTGGCTCTGAGCCAAACACTAGCCTAGCAGTTACAGTGCTGTGATATAAATGAAAAAAACTATAATTTTGAAAATAAACTATATTTCTACTTTCTATTATAAAAAGTTAGTCAACTCAAAGTTAGTCATAAATTTAGGCCAAGGCTAAATGTCTTTGCTAAAATCCCAAAACATGTATATTAACTGGTTTGTTTGAAAGTTATAGAGTCTACAGTATATGTGGTATATGGTATATATATTGCAATTTATGCAGCTTTTACTGCCTAGCACATTTCTTAAGGTGCTAAAATTCCAGGGTAGTACAAAACTCCCCAGATGACCCCTTTTTGGAAAGTAGACACCCCAAGAAATTTGCTGAGAGGCATGTTGAGTCCATGGTAGATTTATTTTTTTTTGCCACAAATTTTTGGAAAAATGACAATTTATTTTTTTTAACACAAAGTTGTCACTTAAATTATATATTTCTCACACATGCCTTGGGAGAATGTGGAATAACACCCCAAAACACATTCTGCTACTTCTGAGTATAAGGGTACCACATGTGAAAGACTTTTTGGCAGTTTAGCCACATACAGGCCCCCAAAATCCAATGACCACCTTCAGGCTTTCAAAGGGCATATTTCCTCATGTCACTTCCTCACAAACTATCACAGTTTCAGAGGGCCTAAAATGCCAAGATAGTACAACCCCCCTCCCCTCCAAATGAACCCTTTTTGGAAAGCAAACACCCCAATGAATTTGATAAGAGGCATGGTGAGTATATGGCAGATATCATTTATGCCACAAGGTTTTGAAAAAGAAATAAAAGAAAAAAAGATAAATTTCTAGATTTCTTTCTTCGTTTTCCAAAAACTTGTGGCAACAAATATGATCTGAAAAATACTCACCATGCCCCTTAGCATATACCTTGGAGTATCTCATTTCCAAAAAGAGGTTATTTGGGGGGTGCTTCTACTATCTTGACACTTCAGGGCCAACATTAGAAGCTTATGTCACACATCACCCACTCTTCTAAGCACTTGACCACCAAGCCTTTTCTGACACATTTTGTTTACATGAAAAAAAAAAAAGCTAGTAACAGTATGCTTACTGTATAATATTACGTTATATATATTTTTTGTGCCAGGAGTTCATCTTTAAACATAAAACACATATTAAAAAGATGAAATCAGCAAACTGATTTAATCAGAGAACCCAGTAGCAGAAACACTGCCATACAGTGCATCCAGAAAGTATTCACAGCGCTTAACTTTTGCCTCATTTTGTTATGTTGCAGCCTTATTCCAAAATGGATTAAATTCATTTTTTTCCTCAACATTCTACAAACAATACCCCATAATGTAAATAGCAAAAGTGCAGCGCTAAAGAAATTGAACTGAAACCAGTGAGAAATCAGTGTAATAATATCCGTGGTTTTCTTTAAAAAGATGCAAACTTCCAAAGCTCTTGCGACCTCAAATAATAGCAATGCGCACTCACCAGAAACGCATGGGTTATGCGCATGTAGGAATAATCATTCCAGATGTCAGATCCCTCAAAGATCAGATGGCGGGCATCCCTCTCACGGTGGATCGCCGAAGACTCCAAATTGGATCCTGAGGTCCCCTTAAGGTCAGTCAGGCACTCCACACTGATAGTGATACTCTCTCCTCTGAGTGGTACAGGCACCTTCTCTGTGTGGGTAACAGCTCCACACAGGAGCCCCAGAAAACAGGTGCCAGAGATAGTGTAGTATGTTTTAAACAAAATTTATTGCTTCAATAAAAGTATAGGGCAGCATGCAGATCCAGACCCATATAAAGGTTTTAAATGGAAAAAAAGGCAGTACTGACCCTAGTAAATATGTCCGCTGGGCCTCCTCGTGGCTCCGGCGGTGAAATGACGTCACGCTCTGCACAGCTCCTCCTTAGGCCTTTCGTGCTATAGACACATCATCAGAAGGGAGGCTGTTTTAAAATACCCCATAATGACAACATGAAAAGTTTGTTTTGAAATCTTTGCAATTTATTAAAAATAAAAAACGAAAAAAAAAAACACATATACATAAGTATTCACAGCCTTTGCCATGACACTCAAAACTGAGCTCTGGTGCATCCTGTTCCCACTGATCATCCTTGAGATGTTTCCACAACTTGACTGGAGTCCACCTGTGGGAAATTCAGTTGATTGGACATGATTAGGAAAGTCATAGACCTGTCTATATAAGGTCCCATGGTTAGCAGTGCATGTCAGAGCACAAACCAAGTCATGAAGTCCAAGGATTGTCCATAGACCTCCGATACAGGATTGTATCAAGGCACAGATCTGGGGAAGGGTACAGAAAAATGTCTGCAGCATTAAAGGTCCCAATGAGCACAGTGGTCTCCATCATCCGTAAGTGGAAGAAGATTGGAACCACCAGGAATCTTCCTAGAGCCGGCCGCCTGGCCAAAATGAGCGATCGAGGGAGAAGGGCCTTAGCCCGGGAGGTAACCAAGCACCTGATGGTCACTCTGAAAGAGCTCCAGCGTTTCTCTGTGGAAAGAGAACATTCCAGAAGAACAATCATCTCTGCAGCACTCCACCAATCAGGCCTGTATGGTAGAGTGGCCAGATGGAAGCCACTCCTCAGTAAAAGGAAATGGCAGCCCACCTGGAGTTTGCCAAAAGGCACCTGAGGGACTCTCAGACCATGAGAAACAAAACTCTCTGGTCTTGTAAGGGATTTCCAGCAAGAAGAATCGCGATCGGAAATGTGCATGCGCATAAGAATTCCCGCAGAAGAATTACCGGTTGTGCGCATGCGTGCAGAAATGCGCGATCACGCACACGCACGGCGAAGATTGGCGCCAGACGGCCTATTTAAGGAGTGCCTCTGCTCATGTTCAGTGCTGACTGGTCTTCAGCTCCCCGTGTCCTGCTTGTTCCTGTGTGATTTCCTTTGTTGCTGACCCGGCTTGTTCCTCACCTGACTCTGATTGCTCTCCTGATTGATACTGTTTCCTGACTTTGGCTCTGCTCCTGACCTTGGCTTTCCTTCTGATTCTGTACAGTGCTGCCCGACTGGTGATGACCCTGGCTATTCCATGACACTGCTCCTGTCTCTTGTCCTCATTACCTGCCTTGCTCTGGTGCACGCCTGGCAATCTACAAAACCTGCTCTGTCTACTACTACTGTGCCAAAATCAGAGGATCATCAGCCTTCCAAGGTCATCCTCTGCAAGAGCTGCAAACAACAACTACTGGCGCTCTTGTTCCCCTGGGTCCTAGACTCCCTCTGTTCCAACTCCAGCGGGGTCAGGACTAGCGACACAAGTGAGGCCGACCTCGTCATTTCAGTCTCCCATCAGGTATGTGACAGGTCTGATGAAACAAAAATTGAACTCTTTGGCCTGAATGCCAAGCGTCATATCTGGAGGAAACTAGGCACCGCTCACCACATGGCCAATACCATTCCTACAGTAAAGCATGGTGGTGGCAGCATCATGCTGTGGGGATGTTTTTCAGTGGCAGGAACTGGGAGACTAGTCAGGATCGAAGGAAAGATGAATGCAGCAATGTACAGAGTCAGCCTTGATGGAAAACCTATTCCAGAGCGCTCTGGATCTTAGACTGGGGCGATGGTTTGTCTTTCAACAGGACAATGACCCTAAGCACACAGCCCACATAACAAAGGAGTGGCTACGGGTCAACTCTGTGAATGTCCTGGAGTGGCCCAGCCAGAGCCCAGACTTGAACCTGATTGAACATCTCTGGAGAGATCTGAAAATGGCTGTGCGCCAACCCTCCACATCCAACCTGATGGAGCTTGAGAGAAATTACTGGGAGAAAACTGGAGTACCCAGAAGAAACCCATGTAGGCACAGGCAAAATATGCAAACTCCAGGCAGGTAGGTTCATGGTTGGTATTCAAACCGACAACCCTAGTGCTGCTAGATGGAACTACTAACTACTTAGCCACTGTGCTGCCCACATTATTGTTATTGCTGTTGCTGACACCAATGCCCAGGGCTAATATTGTGATCACTGACACCAATGCTGGGAATTATCACTGCAGTGACTGACATCAATGCTTGTGGTTATTATTGCTGTCATTGACACCAATGTCCAGGGCTAATATTGTGGTCAATGACACCAATGCCTGGGATTATTATTGTGATCAATGACAACAATACCCAGGGCTATTATTGTGGTCACTGACACCAATGCTGGGAATTATCACTGCACTCACTGACACCAATGCCTGTGGTTATTATTGCTGTCATTGACACCAATATCCAGGGCTAATATTGCGGTTGCTGACACCAATTCTTGGGGGTTATTATTAAGCCAAACCCAATGCAAACAACACACGTTTTTTGCCGCAGGAGGAAGGGTACCGTCCGGATTATGTTCTTTGCTAATATCTGAATAAATGAGAACTTTCACAGACTGGAGCTATGACACTCATACCTCTTCTTCATCAAGTGTTTATTAAAGTGTTACTACACCCAGGACCCCGCATTTACTATATCTGGTCTCCCCGGACCCTGCATTCACTATATCTGGTCTCCCCATACCCTGCATTCATTATATCTGGTCTCCCCAGACCCTGCATTCCCTATATCTGGTCTCCCCGGACCCTGCATTCACTATATTTGGTCTCCCTGGACCCTGCTTGCCATATATCTGGTCTCCCCGGACCCTGCATTCACTATATCTGGTCTCCCTGGACCCTGCATGCACTATATCTGGTCTCCCAGGACCCTGCATTCACTATATCTGGTCTCCCCAGACCCAGACCCTGCATTCACTATATCTGGTCTCCCAGGACCCTGCATTCACTATATCCGGTCTCCCCTGACCCTGCATTCACTATATCTGGTCTCCCCCCCGGACCCTGCATTCCCTATATCTGGTCTCCCCGGACCCTGCATTCACTATATCTGGTCTCCCAGGACCCGCATTCACTATATCTGGTCTCCCACAGTACACAGAACATGGAAATGCAATTATTTTATTAAATATAAACTGCTACATACCTTTTCTCATCAGCAGTTAGAGCAGTCTTGTGACTACTATTAGTGTCCAGCAGAGTACTGGTTAAAGTTTGTAGGAGGAGTTTTCATTTTTCCCTATGAGGCTGCAGGATCCCTGACCCTCTGTCTGGACAGTGTTTATTGGCCCTGTTCTGATCACATGTACTCTCCCAAGAAGAAAAAACACTCTAGCAATACACACCAAACTGAGCATGTGCAGTTTGCCCCCAGGACTCTGTTATATCAGCAGATGGATTGGTGACAGTAGAAGAAGGGGAGGATCAGAGAAGACAGGATCAGACAACCTTTTTCCACAATACAGAGGATTAACTCCTTTGGCTCCACAAGCATGCTCTCCTGCATATACAGACTGATTTTACTGTTGTAGTAACACTTTAAGGAATGACTGTTGGGAACCTTTCCTCATGGCTCTTGCTTGGCTCAGACTGCCCCGGCCTGCGTGTACGCAGTTCCTCGATCCCCCAGTTCTGAGTCGCACACAGTTCAGTAGGGCTACGCGCTGCCATTGCTCTTCCTATACTGAATGCTAAAAGCCACATGAAAACAAGATATTCCATTCCTCCCGACTTCTATTCTTCGGAGTTCTACATTTTGCATTCCTAGAACAAAGAAATTTAAATATCCAGAGGGACAGATCTGGCCTACTTTCCTGCATGCGGGGTTTTCTATTAGTGAGATAAACGCTTTAACATGTCAGTGCTGCATTAGGAGGAAGGCTTGAGATTCCACCTTGATGTGCTTGTGCTCATCACTGCGAGGCTTTGAGGTAGGAGTATGTTGAGTGCTATACAATGCACAGTTTTCTCCTGTTGTGGATCGGATGTGATGAAAGGGACACTTACACAGCACAAAGGAGAGCGGGTGTAGACAATGGTCTTTCCAGAGAGTACAATTGGATATTTCCCTGCGATTGTAGCAGTACAGAAGGAAAGTCTGATTGTAAGAGCTGCCAGTATGGCCTCATGCACGCTGAGCGTTTAGCCCTGATACATGGAGCTTTGGCGTACAGACTTTCTGCGTTCCCGGCATTTGTCCGGAAAATACTGCTCTAAACGTTCATGCCGAAGGGTGTACCATTCAGCCCCATCTAGTTCCAGACGCTGTCAGCCTAGAGTCAACCACACTGCCTGCAGCAGGGCTGGATGGTGCACCCAGGGCTGCTGTTAGAAACCACAGGGCCCCATACAGCCAACCTGACAGGGCCACCCAAACCATGGGGCCCCATACAGCCAACCTGACAAGCCAACCCCCCACATTCCCACAAGAAAACACAGTTTACTATGCTTCAATTATGAATCCACACAGTGATTGATTGGTACCAATCGCTCATTGTGTTCATTCAGGAAGGGAAGGGGCTGGTAAATGTGACATTTTTACCAGATCCTTCCCCCACTCTCCATCCTGAAGGATCCTATAATGTGCTTGCAGCTGCCGGTGGGAAGGAGAAGAGGGAACCCGGCAGCACTGCAGGGATGGGAGGCACACAGGGGGGCTTGGACAGCATGAGGAAATGTAAGGTGCACAGGGAGGGTGATAAGTGCAGAGTGGGGGCAATTACTGTAACCGTTTCCATGAATGACTCTCTGTGCAGCAGCTGAAAGCCAGCAGGAGGGAGAGGGAAGAAGCCAGCTTTCAGCTGCTGCAGAGAGATCCGTACAGGGAATCGGTTCCAGTAATTGCCCCCCACCGTTCCAATCACCCTCCTTGCCCACAGCCTGGGCCCTGTACAGGAGGACTGGTGGTACCCCCTTATCCACGGCCCTGGGTGCACCTGTGCCCTCTGACCACATCTAAACACCAGGACCCCATGTACCAGGGCTAAACACAGGGCTTGTACCATGGGGCTTACAAGAGTTCAACTTTTACATTTTTGTTTTGTAATAGCATAGGGCAGTGGTCGGCAAGCCGCGGCTCGCGAGCCACATGCGGCTCTTTACAAACTTAAATGCGGCTCTTCTGTGTGCCGGGCTCCCGCTCCCCTCCCTCCTCTCGGGCGGCCGCCCCAAAAGTCAGGACTCTGCAGCTGTCAGGATGTAGGCGGGGCAGCCAGGATGTAGGCAGGGCAGCGTGACGAACTCCTCTCCTCTCACAGTCCGCCCTGAAGACCAGAACGGCGCGGGAACACGGCGAGAGGAACGCGCGGAGCAAAGGTAAGTGAATTGACACAATATGGGGAATGAATTGCTATATGGGGGATGAATTACTATGGGGGATGAATTACTATGGGGGATGAATTACTATAGGGGGGATGAATTACTATATGGGGGATGAATTACTATGGGGGATGAATTACTATATGGGGGATGAATTACTATATGGGGGATGAATTACTATGGGGGATGAATTACTATATGGGGGATGAATTACTATGGGGGATGAATTACTATATGGGGGATGTATTTTTCAGTTTTAAAAATGTGGCTCTCAAAATAAATTTCAATCGTGGTTTTGGCGAGATTTGGCTCAGTTGAAAAAAAAGGTTGCCCACCACTGGCATAGGGCAGCCTTTTTCAACCAGGGTGCCTTGAGGTTTCTTCAGGGGTGCCTTGAGGTTTCTTCAGGGGTGCCTTGAGGTTCCTGCAGTGGTGCCTTGAGGTTCCTGCAGTGGTGCCTTGAGGTTCCTGCAGGGGTGCCTTGAGGTTTCTTCAGGGGTGCCTTGAGGTTTCTTCAGGGGTGCCTTGAGGTTTCTTCAGGGGTGTCTTGCGGTTTCTTCAGGGGTGCCTTAAGGTTTCTTCAGGGGTGTCTTGCGGTTTCTTCAGGGGTGCCTTAAGGTTTCTTCAGGGGTGTCTTGGCAAAATGCTTAAAAATTGGCCAAAAATTGTATACAAGTCAGCAGGTATATCAAGCCTGACTTCTAGGTACACAAAGCCACAGGTTTTCATTGTGCATCTTTACGATCATCCAGCCACCAGCATCCTAACAACTAGTGATGCCATTAGTTGATAAGGAGGATATCAGTTGCCTGCACGGTATCCTTTTTTGACCCTCCCCCGCCCCTCTCTGTCATTAATGGGGTCATATTAACTCAGTGATAGAAAGTGATAAACTACGGGAGAAGAGAAGCATTGGAATACTATTCAGTATCTGTGTTCAAGCGTATTTGCTTTGGAAGAATAAATCCCCTCTAACATTGGGTGTCCTACATGTGTGGGTGTTGCTGCATTAGGTAAAACTATTAAAATAGTTTTGTACATCTTAGAATGAGGTATCTTGAGACTGTCCGTAATTTTAAAGGATGCCTCAAAATTGTTCAGGGAGCCTTGACTGAAAAAAGGCTGAGAAACACTGGCATAAGGAATTGCACTTTATAGTGCGACAATGCTGAGCCTTACAGTGTCAGAAGGGTTAGATGTCACCCAGGCTTTCACTTATGCAGGTTGACGGGCTCCAAGATGTCTGTTCTGAGTGGAAAAAATTGGTTTTGCAGTGTCCTCCAGAACTGGTAACTCCTGAATTGGGTTCTTGAGTCCAGAGTCTTTGTAGATACTTGGGAGGATGAAGCCTCTAACCTTGGATCCACATCCTAAAGTGGAATTCAAGTAAAAAAATCTAATTTTGCATTTGCTAAGTATGTTAAGGAACTAAAACTTTTATACTATGCATTTTCTTAATCGATGATTGTCTAGATTAGAAACAACTATCTAACCTACACTATCAGCAACGGTGTGTCTGTGCAGATGAATGTGGCTGCTCACAGGTGCTTCCTAATCCATTGTTGGTGTCTGTGTAATCATTAGAGCAGGGCCGGGCCGCTTGCCACTCTTGTCCCGCCGGGCCCATACCGCCCCCTTCCCCCCTCCCCCATCACGCCCGGCCATTCAACATGGTATCCTGCTACCGCCGAGCACTAGGCACAAGCGTAGGTCTCTTCTGAAAGTGACAACCTTAGCCCTCAATGTTCATGCCACTTTCAGAAATGATACCATTAGAATGCAGTAGACATGTCCAACAGCCATGCTTCTTGAAAAAAAGTGATGGTCAGGAGCAATTTTAACCAAAAAAGGTACAATTTCACACATACCGCTTTAATTGTATTGGGTTTATGAAAATTAAAAGTCAGCAGCTACAAATGCTGCACCTTCTGACTTTAAATAAAGAAGCATTTACCTATCGAGGGATCCAGAACATCCCATTTTGGGTGGAGTTCCGCTTTAAAGCAAGCCTTTCATTCTACTTTAAACTGGGCATAGATGGATCAAAATTCAGCCAGTTCAGCAGCGACTGTGCGTGCAAAAATCATAAATAAAATATATATAACAGTCTTTCATGAATGATAGTGAAAATAAAAATACAAAGGCTATTCAGGGACTCCCTGATGAAGTCACGTGGGGTGTGACGTATTGCGTGGGAGGAGCTGGGTTACAGCTGTGCAAGTCATTTGTTCTTAAAGGAGCTTTTACCATTGATTTAATGTAAGTGCAAGTGTAAGTTTTAATATAGGCTGGTATTTTTAAATACTACACTATGAGAGGCCATTCTATATTTTTCTGAGTGCATTGACAGTGGAGGAGGAAGAGGCTGGGAGCTTCTTAAAGTGACATTCACCATGTGTCCTGTTGAGAAGAAGATTGTTCCTTAGACGGAGAAAGGAGAAAATAGGGACCATAACCATATCCCCAGAGGGGAAAATGCCTGTATAGACCTAATGACATATGTTCTTAGGTACACAGTTGGAGGTGAGTGCATTGCAATAAAGGTGATGGGATTCACAATGCATGATGGTATTTAATGCATAACCAGCACAACACGGAGTGGAGGAAGACATGCGTTTACATTGATATGTGGTCTTGGGGCTCTTGACCTTTATTATTGTATAAGGTTTTTATTTTCATTATCCTTCATGGTAGACTGTTATATGTATTTTATAAATGATTTTTGGATGCACAGTTGATATACTGGGCTCTATAGATTGATATAGAGGGAGCGTTGCATTTTTTTTATGGGAACGAATTATGATGTG